GCCCACCACCAAACGGGTCAAGCTGAACGATGTTACAGGCAGCATAACGTTCTCCACGGCTCACATGTTCTCACTTGTGCTCAGGGTGAACCTGCTCTCCTCTGTGAAAAGCACAGGGCGCCAGTGGCCGACTTGCCAATTCCGGTGTTCTGTGGCAAATGCCAATAAAGCTCCACAGTGCCAGGCAGTGAGCACAGGGCCCACTAGAGGACGTCGGGCCCTCAGGCCACCCTGGTGAAGTCTGCTTCTGATTGTTTGGTCAGAGTTATACACACCAGTGGCCTACTGGAGGTCATTTTGTAGGGCTCTGGCAGTGCTCCTCCTGCTCCTCCTTGCACAAAGTAGCAGATAACGGTCCTGCTGATGGGTTGTAGACCTTCTAGCTCTCCTGGAGTAACTGTCTGTCTCCTGGAATCCCCTCCAAGCTCTTGAGATTGTGCCGGGAGACACAGCAAACCTTCTGGCAATGGCACGTATTGATGTGCCTTCCTGGAGGAGTTTGACTGCCTGTGCAACCTCTGTAGGGACCAGGTAGCGCCTCATGCTAACAGTAGTGACAGTGACCCTAGCCAAATGCAAAACTGGTAAAAAAGAGTCAGAAAAGATGAATAGGGGAAAAAATATCAGTGGCCTCCACCTGTAAAACCATTCCTGTTTTGATGGTCGTCTTGTTGTTGCCCCTCTAGTGCTCCTGTTGCTAATTTCATTAACACCAAAGCAGCTGAAACTGATTACCAAGTATCTCTGCTACTTATTTGACCAAATCAACACCCAGAAGTTTATCTAAGTTTATCTTGATGCTATACTCTGATTACAAAGTGTTCCTTTAATTCTTTTGAGTGGTGTATATACTCCACGCCATCATCCACCATCTTCTTCTTCGTCTTTTTGCGAGGCAGTATGGTCCAGTTGCAGATCACGTGACTCAAATGCGCAACAACTGTTTCTATCACAGATTTGCGACTTCGGATGCAAATTTAAATGAGACTGAAAAAACACCTACAGAATATTTTCCAATTAAAAAAATTTGAGTTTTTTTTATTTTTTATTCCTGTGTTCCTATTTAGCAAACATTTTTCCGTAATTATAATTTGCACAATTTAAGAGCTAATGGAACCGCACCAAGTGACTTATCGGTTTTCAGTCCTAATTTAAAGGAACAAACATTTTCTGCAGATCTTTTTTTTGTAGTAATTAAATTAAATCCTACCCCTGTCCTTCACTGCATTTCATAATTTAATTGTATATTCTAGAGATGTCCCGATCCAGGTTTTTGCACTTCCGATCCGATACCGATATTGTTTTTGGACTT